TAGCTCTAAATGAACAATCTGGGTAGTCCAGAATCTTCCTGACTTTGCAACGAGCCTGACTTTGCAAGGGGCGCTCCAGTGCACTGCAGTCTATGCAGTACATGATAAAGAAGCAATTATGATAGTGAAACTGAGTAAGACCCTGCAGGACCATCCCAGGGACAGATCTCCATCTTACACCTGCCCCCGCCTTGGCCCCTGCCTCTTGTCTGTAGAAAAGCTTTAAATTTGCTCTTTGGTTACAGAGCAGATTTAATTAGAGAAGTGAGAAAATAGTCAAGCAAGACAAAATAATAATAGTTAAGCCATACAACAAGGACCTTTATTTTATTTCCTCCTCGGGGCTATAAATAATATCCTGAGCCGTGTCCTTGAATTGTTGTGCAGATACTAAAACACCCACTAGGTGGAAGAAGTTCGCTGCATGCTGACCACCAGTACACATAAACCCCAGACTGGTTGGAACCAGAAAACTGATAGCTGAGATTCCTGAAACATCACTATTTCCTCATCATCAACCCATCAGAGAATTGTGCATGAGCTGATCATGCACCCTGTGTCTCTCTCCCCTCAATGTCTTTCAAAACCCTTCCTGAAAAACCATCGAGGAGCTCATGTCTTTTGAGCACAAGCTGCCCATTCTCCTTGTTTGGCGCCCTGCAGTGAACACTGTACCTTCTTTCACCACAGCCCCGTAAGTGGACCAGCTTTGCTGCATATCAGGTAAGCAGACCCCAGTCTAGTTGGGTTGCAGCTGCAAGACTGCGAGCTTTCAAGTTCAGTGATACAGCTGGAGGTTTCAAAACATAAGGACAAAATAGGTATGTTTAAAATTTCCTTCTTAGGAAGTAAGATATTTTCTAATTACAGAAGTAATGCATGTTGCTTCTACAAACTGAGAAGGAAAGGAGCACAAGAAAATGAACATCCCTAAGCTCAGCACCCAAGTATAATTACAGCCAACATTTCAGAGAACAGTCTTTTAGACTTTTTTTTTCCTAGCATAGATATTAGGAATCAAATTCTGATGAAGAATTTGATCACAAAACATTCCTTACACATTTTAATTACAAATTATGATTAAGCAACAAACATCTCTTCAAGGCATTCCAGAGCTGAATTTAGTTCTAGCGTAGGCTTGGCATTAGATAAGAAGGCTCCTTTTTAGGACAGTTCTTACCAGTCAAGTCATTGATCCCATGGTCCAGGCTCAGAAAGAATCAGATTTTTCAGATAAGAGGTTTTGCAAAACCAAGGTATCTATCTAGCAGATATATACAAAAATAAAGGAGAAAAATTACATGCTGTTTTGTGCATGTGTCTTTGTTTACTTCAGACAGGATTAACATACTTGGAGGTGTTCAACCTCTCTTCCAAACATGATCTTTTAACAGGGCAAAGGGGTTTCTATTCATCTACTTAAATACATTTGATTCAGTTTTTAAAGGTATTTGATACCATCTGTATCATAGCAGATGGGAAGGGAGGTATCTCCTTTATAGTAATAATCTCATTTTGTTCTCAAGATTTTGTTCAAAGAATTCCTTTGAAATGCACATAAAAGCAACACTCACTATCAAAGACAACAGCCACAGCACAAGCAACAAAACCAAAATTGCTCCATAAATAGCCTCTAAGTGGTCTCTGGGTGAAAAATGTTAAACACTTCCCTGGTGAACAGGTCAATTTACTCCTCTGTCCATCAGTGTCACCGGCAGCACGGTTTCTCTTAGTAGGCTATCATAACAAGTTCTTATCCAGAAGCAAGCATCCTAGAGAGTCATACTAAAGTAATTACACAGTTGGAAAAGTCTATTGGTACCAATTACTCTAAAAATCTTCCAGATGGGAGATTAGTTCTACCACACTGGGTGGCAGAAAATGTGAGACTGCAACAAAGGACTGGCTGAAACCCTTCAGGAAAGCCTGGGGGTGGGTACAGTGGGCCTACAGCCCTTCTTTCCGGCGGTTATACAAGAGGCTTCCATCTGGCCAAAGATACAGGGATTTACCACAAAGCGGCGTGCAGCTGACACCTGGTGTCCAAAGCAAGGGATCACCTATCATGTCACAGTAGGCACAGCTCTGGAACTTGCCAGAGACCTCAACCTCACACTACCTGCCATTCGTGTCTTTTCAAAAGTCTTAGAAAGAACCAGGAGCATGGAATAAGGGGTTATTTCTTATGGATTCAGCTTCAGTTTGAAAAAGTTCTTGGGGATGGGTGGTGGGGATGGTTGTACAACAATGTGAGTGTACTTATGGCCAGTGAATGATACACTCAAAAATGGCTGCAATGGCAAATTTTATGTCTATGTCATATATACTTTTGTGAAAGCTGCTCAGTCATGTCCCACTCTTTGCGACACCATGGACTGTACAGTCCATGGAAATTTTCCAGGCTAGAATACTGGAGTAGGGAGCCATTCCCTTCTCCAGGGGATCTTCCCAACCCAGAACTCAAACCAGAGGCTCCTGCATTTTATTACTATATATACATATGGAATTCCCATATATAGGGCTTCCCTGATGACTCTGTGGGTAAAGAATCTGCCTGCAATGCAGGAGACATGGGTTCAATCCCTGGGTGGGGAAGATCCCCTGGAGGAGGAAATGGTAACCCACTCCAGTATTCTTGCCTAAAAACTCCCATGGACAGAGGAGCCTGGTGGGCTACAGTTCAAAGGTTCACAAAGAGTCGGACATGACTGAGAGACTAAGTGCGCACACTCTCTCTCTCTCTCTCTCTCTCTATATATATATATATATGTATATATATAATACATGAAAATAAAACCTAGGAACCAAGCTAGGATTCATGTCTCAGAGTGTTGACCATCCATTTGTCCAGGTTCTACAAGTGGGATCACTAATGAGCTACAGACCCACCTAGAACTCCCCAAACAACAGACTTACATCCTCATACTGAACACTTTGTTTTGACTGAGGGTGAACATAAGACCCAGTCATGTGAAGACCAAGGCTCCACATTACAAACTACTTTGGGTAACATTGTCTTGCATTGTCCAGTTTGTATTAATGTATTACCCAGTCTCTTTAGAAAGATCCATGCCCCTCAAGAAATTTAAGTTTTTAATATATGAAACTTTTTCTCCTGACCAAGTAAAACTATTTCTTTTAATGTAAGAATTCTGAAAAAATAATCTGGAAAAAATAATAATCTGAAAAAATAATTCTGAAAAAAAAAAAAAAAAACAACCAAAAAACTACATTTCTCCAAGTTACAGCTTTATTTATAGGATGTTCAGAGCTTAAATTTTAAGTTCAAACCTTCTTATGTGAAGTATATTACTATAATTAACCTCTTTTTCTGTTGCACATGGCTCTTAGGCGTTCATTCTATCCACGAGCTTGCTTTAAGGGACATCAATGTCCTTGGAAAGTAGGTGGGTCAGGATAATAAGCTAATGAGAGGCTAGTTTAAACTACATATTACAGAACAACCCACAATGAAAATGAGTCTTTCCAGAGAAAAAAAAAGCATGATCTGGCTAGGATATTGACTGCTTGATAATGTACTTTAATCAAAGACTCCAAATACCAATGACTATGCAAGTTGAAAACAAAAAAAAAAAATGTTTCTCAAAGTGTTAAAAATTAGGGCATCTGATTACACACTAAAATCAGAAAAGGAAGCCTTAATCACATCCTTACAGTTCTGGAAGCAACATGCAGAATAATTAGTCTAATGCTGCCAAGGTGTGATAGAGTCAAAAGTCAAACTAATCTTCTACCTCATTTTTTTCTCTAAATCAGAATGCACAGGAATAAAGAAAACATTTCAACACAGAAATTCCACCATAAATCTCTGCTAGATAATACTGACTGAGGATCTCTATCCTTCACATTCCAACAGCTACCATATAAATCAAATTTTGTACAAGATTATAGTGGTATCTTTATTCAGTAATTAGGTATGAAAATAAGAATAAAAAGATGGACCATTGCATGGTCTTAACACTAAAGCTTCTGATCTCTTCTTCCAACATTTGATATGTTAGAAGGTAAGAGAAGAATTTAGGAAGGTTTTTTAGGCTTCAAATATCCTTTTGCTATAATCTCATTAGAATACATATTTTGATCAAATTAATGCATAAAATTGTTAGTAATGCCAGTGAATAAAAAATACAAGGAAAGATTTCTTTTACAGCCATCTGAAAAAAATACCAATAATGGTTCTCTTTGGATAACTTTATACCTATTCACTATTTTGGAAATGTTGTGCTAAACAATGAAAACTCCATGTCCCACTTGTTCTCAAGTTCATACTAAATAACCTGCATGATATTTGCCCTAAACAAATCTTACTTTTGTAATTTACTAGTAAGCTTCAAGGAGAGGAAAACAAAACAAACAGGAGGGGAAGGTAGAACAATCTAACAAGAAAAATAAAAATTTCTGTATGTTTTTTGTGCTGTCTTCTATACACTATTAGTGATTAATTTTAAAACATTTGTTATTTGTTCAGTAACATATTACTCACCCATCTGAACACAAATGACTGTGCATAATTTTAACTATCACAGATACATATATTTTTCTCCCCTCAAAGTGGCATTTCCCTTTGTATCTTCATATATTAGTACAAAAGACCCACTTCTGGTTGCCAAAAATGTCCACATAGTCATTATAGATTCAACAAAAAAGGAGAAAGAAATCTCACATTTGGCATTAACTCTCATAATCCCAAAATACTGCATACATCATTGACTCCTGTGCTAAGGTCTCAGGCTCATCAGCAATTTCTTGAAATGGTCAGGGTATAAAATTTTACCTCACCTAAGCAGATGAGCTGGGAACCACAGTCTTGAGTATTATACTGCTGCCACCTTCACTTAGGTATTTTAATCTCTAAAGAATTTTAGCTACGACCTCATCAGCAAATGTTTCAAGCAAAGTGCTAGATCAAAGTCATTTTTTTTTTCCTCTAGAGAAGAAAACAGGCAGGGAAGATAAGAGGGGAAGAAAAGGTAATTTACCTGCATCAATTTTCTGGAGAGCTCATTAGTGAGGAACTCTTCTTCCTTCTCGTAATTTACAGCAAGGGTTTCTTTCTCCTTCTGCAAAGCTTGAATTTTCTTGAATAAAGTGTTACTTATGAATTCTTCTTCCTGCTCAGCCCGGGCTTGCTGTTAAAATTTTCAAAAAAAGAGAAAAACAAAAGAAAACAAAAATACGTTAAGCAAATGGGAATTTACTAATTGAAATATAGTTCTTATTTTCAGAGAGGGCACCCATTTTAATTAGAGCTCTATTTTTAACTGTGAACCAACATACCCCAAGATGACAAAACAGAGGAATTGACTAGCAACCATAAAGGTAAATCTGTTACCCCAAAGGGACTCCCAGTACTATCGTCTTAAACGGATAGTTGTCAGTCGCTCAGTTCTGTCTGACTCTGCGACCCCTTGGACTGTAGACTGCTAGGCTCCTCAGTCCATGGGATTCTCCAGGCAAAAATACTGGAGTGGGTAGCCATTCCCTTTTCCAGGGGATCTTCCCAACCCATGGGTCGAACCCAGGTCTCCTGCATTGCAGGCAGATTCTTTACTGTCTGAGCCACCAGGCAAGCCCTATTAAAGGGATATTTCAAAGAAATTAATAAAGATGGTTTGCAGTCTTTAGAAGCCATCCCAAATCAATCACCAGGATACAGAAAGTTCCTTCTCATATGGCAGACGGGTCCAATGCTGGGGTATGCGTATCAACTCATGACAACTCTCCACAAGTCTCCTCATTTGAAGGGTTCAGAGTTAAAACACCTAGGTAACATCTTTTACTGAAGCAAAGAAGTACCGTTTACCAAAAGTAAAATCATGTCACCTCTTCAAGATGTTACTGAAAGGGTTTGGATATGCAATTTGAAAAGCAATACAGATAGACACAGATTAATTTACATGTTCATTAAATATTTATTGGAAGGAAATAATAGCAAACAGCTAAAAAATAGTTGTTGCAAAGAGTCCAGGGGATGAAAGATAAGGATGGATGAAAGGAGTGTCATTTTTCACTTATTTATTTCCCTACTGGGAATTTTTGGAGGTGAGGGCAAGGACAGGCATTACTAAATGTTAAAAACAGAAAAAAAGGGAGTCAGGCATCATTCAGTGGAGATGAAAATATTCTCCCATAGATTCCTCCCTCCACTTGTGTTTTAACAGAATAAACAGAAAAACCTAGTCATCCTTGCAGGAAACTAATTTTTTCAGAAAACGGGGGCTTGTTCCAAATGGACTCAGCTCTCTTCAAAGTACCTTTTAAGCTGCAACATTTTGATGCACGAGTCCCCAGTAACGCAGTCCTATTTCATCTGCCAAGTCCAGGAAGGAAAGAACTGCAGCAATTCCAAGCCTCCAACACCTGTCACTTATACAAGACAGCCAGAGGGCAAGAGAAGAAAGGGCACCTACCTGAAACAATAGCCACCTTTTATTGTAAAAGGGCTGACAGCCACTCCCAACTCGCCTGGCTGGGCTGGCTGGGATTGCCACCCCCACCTGGAGAGCCCTGGTTTCTGGGGAGTTCATCATCCCTGCTCCCCATCACAGGCAGGAAGGACGCCAGTGCCTGGAACTGCCTGCCAAGCAAATCTACCGAAGAAAGTCACGTGTATGTAGTACTAAGACTGAAAAAAGAGCTACAGAGAAAATGGAAGCTTGGGGAGGAGGTCTGGCTCTCCAGTTCTTTAAGACACCATCTGGCATAGGCCGGGAGAGGTAAGCAACAAAGAACATGTCACTCAGCTAATAAGGTTTTCTGAGCAGCCAAGCACCCAGGGAGCAGGCCGGAGGTTCCCAGGGCTCCCTTACACACTCTGTAATTCATCAGCGCCTCTCAAGGTCGTGCTCTTTACCCAGAGGTCAAGGGAGCACAGCCCAGGACTGGTACTTCCTCTCCCCTTTAAACTGACCCCCAACTCGGCTTCAAAACTCTCAGACTTCCAGATCTCATCCTAGTGCACTGGGCAGGAATCCAAAGCATTTCTTTCGGGCATCTATGACACACACATCCAAGCCCACAATCTGTTTGAGTTACCTGTTTTTCTGGTTTTGACTGACAAAGTTCCATATGATTTGAACTTTGATTATTCTAAAAGGAACAGGACAAAAAGGTAGAGAGGGGAACTGTAATGCCTTTGCAGGTGACTCTGCACTTAGATTTCAAAAGGATGTTTGCCATAAACTCATTTCATGATCAGATCAGACTCAACTTCTTGTGTGTTACCTGGCATTCTCTGTTTAGATGACTGGTAAATTTATCCAGAGTCCAGTAACAGAGAACCAGGCTCCAAGGCCCAGCAGACTACCACTCCCTCTGCACAGGGACCTAGAAGTGAGAAGCTGAAAATAAGAGGCCAGGCCCTAAAAGTTTAAAAAAATAAAAAGGACTGGGGGCAAGCTAGGTCTGTTCTGTAAGTGCCTTCCAAAGTAAGTGATGGTTATGAGAGACCCAGGCTTTAGCCAACAAAACTTGTCACCATTTTAGAATAGCCACTTATTTCTAGGCAATAGAAACAGAATAATAGAAATAGAAAAAGCCACTCCAAGGACGTACCCACAACATGAGGAACTGTTCTACAGAGGCTGGTTAAAGTCTATCTAACTTAACAAGGGATTAACCAGGCCTGACACAGACCTCCCTTCACTAAGTTTTTGCACTGGGGACTGTTACTCTGCTTCCCACAGCATCTAAACACACAGAGAAAAAACATCTATCTGGGGGATAAGACTCCAGGTTCCGCAAACATAAAACTAGTTCACCCTTTCTCCAACTGGCCACAGAGCATTTTTAGGAATTAACTCACAAATGAGAGGAAAAGACAGGGTGCTATATCCAATATGGCTTCAGAGAAAATTGTTTAAAAACTCAGCTCTAGTGTACTGATGACCATGGGTAAACATGATCATCACAGTAGGTGCTATGCATCACAGACAAGCAAGATGCATCCATTTGGATTTTCCCTGCAGCTTTCCCTCTATTTTAGGCATTATCTTCTCAATCTTCATCTCAAATCCTGGCTTTCTCTTCCCCTTAAGTCCAAAACAGGCTTCCCAGGTAGCGTTAGTGGTAAAGAACCTGTTTGCCAATGCAGGAGATGTAAGAGAGAGATAGAGGTTCAATCTCTGGGTAGGGAAGATCTCCTGGAGGAGGAAATGGCAACCCACTCCAGTATTCTTGCCTGGAGAATCCAATGGAAAGAAGAGCCTGGCAGGTTACAGTGCACAGGGTCGCAAAGAGTTGAACATGCCTGAAGTGACTTAGCACGTATGCACACACACACATTCCAAAACAGGTCTTTTCATTTAGGCTGTAAAAGCAATCACTTTTCCAATTATCTCCCCCAAAGAAGCCAAGAGCTAGGTAGACCACAGCCTAGAAGCAAAATAGGGCATGTGCTATTTGCAAGGAACTTGGGGTTGGACAGGTGGACAGACAGAGATAAAACAGGTTGACATAAAACCTCAGTTTTATCAATCTATTTCCGTTTTATCTGAAATGCTTGAAAATCTCAGCATACCTAAACACATCCAAATTAAAAAATCAAACTCTATTCTCAAAACTAAAAAAATCAATCATGGTTACCTTATAACTCCCTAAACTCTCAAAAGAAAATATGAGCCAAACAATTACAAACTCTTTGTTTTGCATGTGTTTGTAGAGTTGAAGACTGCAAAAATCCGGGGGAAATAAAAAAATCTGTGATTACAGATATAGAGAAAAAACTAGTGGTTACCAGTGGAGAGAGCGACTACAGAGGGAAGGAAGGAAGAGGTACAATCAGGCATAAAATAAGCTACAAGGAAATATTGTACAACATGGAGAATATAGCCAATACTTTATAATAACTATAAATAAACTTTTAAAAATTGTTAATCACAATATTGTACACTTTGTAATTTACATAATATTGTGCAGCAACTATACTTCTATTTTAAAAATGTGATTATATTTTCACATTCGATAAGGTTCTAACTGCTCTGTTCAGAAGCTGAGTGAATGCTAGCATTACCTAATTCACTTATTGGTGTCTGCTACTTTGCCCCCCAACCCAGCAGGGTTCACTTGACTTCTGCTGATGTGAGGAGTACACAAAGCAAGTCTCAGTCTCCATCATTCTTTACTCATTCTACAAAAGTCTGATTAAAAAAAAAAAAAAGGGAAAACAAGAAAGGGATGGGTAGGGGAGACACAGGAGCAATTTACCAAGGTCTTTGGAAAAAAAATGGCAACCCACTCCAGTATTCTTGCTTGGAGAATCCCATGGACAGAGGAACCTGGTGAGCTACAGTCCATGGGGTTGCAAAGAGTCAGACACGACTTAGCAAGTAAACAACAAACTGGGAAAAATAAACATCCATCAAAAAATTCTTAGAAAACAATCATTTTCTCCTGAGTCACCACATATTTATTTAGGCAATCACACTCTAGATGAGCACAATTTTCTGCTGATAAGGAATCATTGTGACCCACTGCTATTATGAGCAGGGCACAAATCTGACAGGAGATTCCCCTGCAATTGCTTAGTGCTTCTGTCCTCCATCAGTCATATTCTGGAGATCAAGGGTTAATACAGAAAGGAGAATTTGAAAACTCTCAACAAGAGCACTTACTGCTGGCAAGAAAGTCCAAGTACCAGGACCAAAATTATGTAAGATGATGCAACTAATCATCTGTCAAGAGTAAGAAAAGGATGGTTCCCAAAGCAAAAAAAAAAATACAGGCATTTATCTATCTGACAGCAGGTGCAGGTAAAGGATATAATGAAGAGAAAGCTCAAGTGCCTACCAAGATTTTGCAACTGTTTTACAAAATTACCTTTAATTTGAATGTTGTTTACTTTAGTAACAAAAAATCATAATGCTAAGATACCTTGGGGGTTGGGAGGGAGGGGGATACACACACACACATACTTATGGCTGATTCATGTTGTACTGCAGAAAAGAAGACATCATTATAAACCAGTTATCCTCCAATTTAAAAAACACCTTGAAGCTCTAATTTTAAGAATTCAAGCAGGCTGGTATTTATTATTTTAATTATTTAAATTCCTTAAATTTAGGAACCTATTTACATATATTATTCTAATTATTTAAACTTATTATTCTGTTGCTTAGCAACTTACAATTCA